CCCAATGCCCATGGGTAGGCAATTGGACATCCCCTCACGGGGAGTCACAGGGAAGAAATGAGCCAGTCAGGGTGCAGTGTAGCACCGATGAAACACACAACTTTCCTCTAGTTCTTTGGTGCTTCTTTCTCCCCACTATCATGACCTCAATTCTACCTTACAAATCGGATTAGACCAGAGCATGCACACTGCTACAGCTACGAGCCCACAACACAGGGAATCCAGAATGGATAAACCCCTCAGGGCCAACAAGGAGAGTAGAGATACCAAGAGGATTTGGGGACGGTGGGGGGAAAGAGGGGGAATCAATCACAAGTATCAATGTAGAACCGTCTCCCAGGGGGGGCGAATAATGGAAAAGCGGGTAATGGAGGAAGATGTAAGATATGGAAAAAATAATCTATAACTTATTATGTGTTTGTGAGGGAGGGGGAAGAAATGGGGAGCTGATATCAGGGACTCAAGTGGGAAGAGAATGTTTTGAAAATGATGATGGCAGCATATGTGCAAATGTGCTTGACACACTGGAAGAATGTATGGATTGTGATAAGTGATGTAAGAGCCCCGAATAAAAGTATTTTAAAAAAGATTTTAAAACTAAAAAAAAAAGAAAGGACGAGGTCTGAGTGTCTTGGGTCTTAAAGGCTTGTCTTTAAGCAAAGTGCCATCTAAATCCATAGGGAAGAAGCACTCCAGTCTGTGTGATCAAGCAATTATTAACAATATAATAATTTGTGATCAGAGGGGGATTTTATTAGAGCTTAACTTCTGAGCACCTTGGTTTGCACAAGGGGACGGATGGCAATGGCACTGGCGGCCAAAAATCCATCTGCAGAGGCCTCACCTCGTTAAGCCTCCATTGAATGCTTTCTGACCTTTAACCAAGGATGTAGCTCATCCTGCCCTTAGGCAAAATGCCTTGTAGAGCAATTACTTCCACCCTTCTATGGCCCAGGGCGGGGCAGCCTCTGGGGACTACTGAGAGGGGGGTATCAGTCATGAGTCCCATTCTATCATTGCCCCAAGGACTGCCTTGGTCAGAAGGTCCTGGACCAGTAGCCTCATCTGTTATTGTGATGTATCGATCTGCCACCAATCATGATTTTGTGACAACTTCCTTTGCAGCTGTCCCCCCACACCCCACACCCCCTCCAATACCCTCTTTATCTCAAGTCTTCAGTGTGAACACTTGGGTGCCATTTCAGCCTTGTGTTGGTAGCCGCCTTCATCTGGATGATGTATCTGTGTTTTGTGTTGCCTTTGTCTCTTTTAAGACTTAATAAATGTTCTCTTTAAAATACATTCCAGATTGGGTCTCTTTTGTACCCTAAACATAACTCACACTCATCCATGCACACACTCACCCACATAAGCACACACACATCCTCACCAGGCACACACTCTCTCATACTTGCCTCTCTGTCCTGTCAGCACTGGAGGGCCAACTTGGGCATCCTTGGGTGCTGGTTGCATGTATGCCTGTGTACACTATAAAAGTGCAAGCCGTTTAAGGGAGACTCTGGGTCTGGTTCACACTCATTATTCAACAAATGTGTATAGAGTGCTTTCTGTGGGCCAAGCACAGTGTGGGTGCTGACGAAAACCACAGAGAACAAGATAAGCATGGTCTTACACCCTTATGAAAGAATGAAAAAAGAAACCAGACAGTTGTAAGTTCTGAATATGCAATGAAAGAAATAAACAAGAAGGACATTCAGGGGGAAATGATTTCAGATTAAAAAAAAATCCACTGCCATCTGATCAACTCTGACTAGAGGACTTCTGGGGCTGTGCCTCTTTTCAGGAGCAGGTAACTTCCTCTTTCTCCCATGCAGTGGCTGGTGGGTTTGAACTGCTGACCTAGTGGTTAGCGACCCAATGTTTACTCAACAGTTCTGCCAGAGCTCCTTAGTGGGTAGGCAACTCCTCTGAAGAGATGAAGTTCACTATGATACTTAAACCATGGAGAGCTGGTCATGTGAAAAGTCAAGGGACCAGAGCTCCGGGCCCTTTAAAAGTTCAGCCAGGACACAGGTGCTGAAGTAGGAAAGAGCTTAGTTTGTTCAGTGGTCTGAGAGGACAGAAGTAAACAAGGCAGAGAGGGATGTGAGGGAGGTTTGGGAGATAGGCCCAGGTGATGCTCGGCTGTGTGAGTGAGGAGGAGATGGGGTCTGGTTCCAAGAACAATGGGAAGCCTGAGAGAAGTTTTAGGGAAGTTTCCCAACCCACCTTAACATTTTAACAAAACGCCTTTGTGCTGATGGTGGGCTGGAGGTGGAGCTGGAAGCCCCGGGGCTGGGTCATCCCACTGTGTGCTGCAGTGGACACTCACCTCTCGGATCTCCTCCACAGAGGTGGGCTGATAGTACATCTCCGGTGAACAGCCATAGGTCTTGGCCCAGTTTTGGAACTTGACCCCTTTGTACCCATGAACCTAGGCCAGGAAAAAAAGCCATATCTTAGCAGTGACCTCCATCCTCCCCACCGCCACTATTGAGCTAGTGACTGAGTAAGCAGCCACTCAGAGCCCTTCTGTCTTTGATGAGGGCCTTAAGGAAGGTTAATGCTTTGAGAGGGGCTTTCTGTTATTCTCCCCTTGACAGCTGCAGTCAGATGTAGGAGCCTAGGTGATTACAGCCTCAGGGAGACGAGATCAGTGAAGGAACCGGGAGAAAGCAGGATCCTCGGGATGGGCCCTCAGCCTTTCCTGAAGGCTTCTCTAGCAGGGAAAGGACGTGCCTGGAAGAGAGCATGCGCCCGAAGGAGTCCACAGCACCTTTCCTGACTCTGACCCCAGCTGTGGAGTCCTAGGGACGGGAGGAGATGCCCATTGTGTGCTGGGCTCCTCTGTGTGTCTTACTGGATCCTTACAACAACGTGATGGGGCGGGTCATATTACTCCCATTCTCAGGAGCATATACTGGAGCTCACCCCGTTGCCCCACTTAGGCATGGGGTCCAAGCTAGGCCTTCTTCTCCCATCCTTTTCTCAACACCCTCAGAGCCTCAAGTCCAACTCACGGTGGTCCCCTTGGCCTCACCTACCCCAGGTGAGTCCACCTGTGACCTCCCCACCCCATGGGCCTTCCATTTGACTTAATTCTGCAGTCTCCAGCTCACAGGTCCAGCCTGGACACAGACCCACTACCATGTATGTGTTCCTACCATGGCTCCGGCAGTCAGTGGCCTTGGATGAATCCGGCTCTTTTCAGGAACAGTGCGCTGGGCAGCCAATTGGAAGCGTAAGCGTGTGACCGAAGGGTCTGAGCTGGCAGCACACCACCTCAGCACTGGCTCCCTTGCTCGGCTGCTGCTGCACACAGGAACGTGGGGGCCTGACAAAGTTGGGTAAACAGTGTTGCAACAGTTCCACGCCAACAGGATGAAGTCAATCCCAGCAAATAGCAGTTGAGACCTGCCTCCTGTCCTGGGCAGAAGGTTAAAGGGCAGTGTTTAGGAGTGGCTCCTCCGTTTATGGACATTTCCTGAGTTCTGGCCTCTACTTTATGGGTTCTAGAGCCAAAGCATCTACCATCCTCTAAGCCAAATACCAAATGCACAGCAGCTTCCAGTTCAAGATGGTGAATCAGGCAGACATACTACCCAGAGCCACTACAATTGTATTAGAGCTGAAATTCATAGCAGTAGGTTTGCAAAAGGCTTGGATTAACAGCAAAAGCCCAAAATCCATATGCAGAGTCCCCAGGTACATTAAGCTTCTGAGATAGTTAAAGTTTATTGTGCCAACCTGGTGGATAAGCACATGTGGGGTTAATTGGAGGGCAGAAAGATAAATGGCTTGGTGAGTCTCTCCTTTTGAGTTCTCGGGTTTCTTGCTTTCTGATGGTCAGACCAGGGTGCAGCTGACTTAGCCAGTTCCCTGCTTCAGCTGGCAAGGCTCACTTCCTGCAAGACATC